GTCGTCAATAAATATTTGCTGGATGCATAAATGAATGAAGGTGTGGCTCATATGCAAACAACTTTGCAATCAATCATTTTAAAGCATCAGTCCTGCTGGTGTGTTACTGGTCTCCCAACAGTTGGTTTGCTCCTCGGAAACTTCAGTTTCCACACTGGGATTAAGTGGCCTTTTACAGCCTGCTTTGAGAGAACAGGAGGTTTTAGGAGAAGTATGTCCCGTATGAATCTAGTGGAACAGGTATATAATTCCGCAGTGGTTTGCTTTAGACAATGAGTCCTGCAACCTGAGCTAGTTAAGACGGTGCTGATCTGGCAGGGAGTGAAAGGAAAAGCTGCAGCTTTGTTCTGGGTGAATGAGAAAGTTCAAGGTCAAGAGTGCGTTAGACGCAGGATCAGCAATTGGCTGCCCTTTAGTTGTGTGGCTTTGAAACATAACATTCCTGGGTGTGTTTCAGCATTTATAACATAGGGCCAAATTAGGATATTTTACTTTGGACTTTACTCTTTTTTCTTTTTTAATTTTAACTCTATCATAGATTTTTCTTTTTCCTTCCTTCCCTCCCTCCCTCCCTTCCTCCCTTCTTTCCGTCCTTCCTTCCTTCTCTTTGAGACAGGTTTCTCTGTGTAGCCCTGGCCATTCTGGAAGTTGCTCTCTAGACCAGGCTGGCCTTGAACTCAGGGATTCACCTGCTTCTCAAATGCTGAGATTAGAGGTGTGCACTACCACCATCCTGTGGGATTTTTCATTTTTTGATGGCACATTAGTGCATAAAAATATATTTAAAAGTGTAAAATCCAATTTTACTTCATTGAGGCAGTAATCCCATTAAGACGATCAATTAAATTTTTATCAGTGTTCTCCAAAAATTTAGATCCACAGGTTTCCATATAATTTAAAGGAATTAAATTCCCTTGACATTTATCAATGTGCCCTCATCCACGGCTGCATTTCTAAGACAGTTTTTGTTTCCTTTTGTTAAAATCACCGTGACACTTCCACTCAATGGTTTTCATCCTAGAGCCAACCATATTCTTTGATTCCTGGTGGGAGCAGATTTGTCAAACTACAAAACTCTCCTCTAAAATGTAAGCAGGCCAATGTGTGATATTCTGGCACTAATAGATTCCAGTATAGGATTAAATTTGCAGGAGCTTTGCTTCTGGACTAGGTGCCCACATCGAGCCTATCAGATCAAACCAGTATAGACTTTATTCACAGCAACCTGGCCTCAATTGCTTGCTAGATGCCTTATAGCCAATTAAATGACAACCAACAGGTTATTTAAAGAATTATACTGTAGTTAATTATATTGTTCCTCTCTTTTTGTTTTGTTTTGTTTGTTTGTTTGTAAAGACCGCTTGGTCACAGTATTCTGGAGTTCTCAGAACCTGATTTGATTTTGGAAGCAGCTCAATTTGCAAATCATGCTGTTAATTTTTGTTGTTTTTTGCTGTGTGTGTGTGTATGTCCCAACGGGGTAGAGGAGTATTGAGACAGAATCTCATTCCAAAGTTGGTCTTGAATTCCTGATTCTCCTGTCTCTATTTCCCAAGTGCTAAGGTCAGAGGTGGTTTGTTGTTGTTATTGTTGTTGTTGTTGTTGTTGAAGGGACTGAGGCTGAGCTAGGATCTCCAGGAGCCTCAGCTTTCCTAGAACTGTGTCCCACCCACATGATTTAACCTCTATTATTTGTATTTAGTCTTTCCTCATCACCTGATGTTCATCTGTCCCTTTCTACATGGTACAGTACACCCACATGTACATTTGTTTAAATGGATACATATACACATATATGCTATGATACACGTGAGAACATAGACTTTCTCCCAAGACTGTGTGTCTTTCCTTAATATTATATATTCTAAGCCCATCTGTTTTCTTGCAAAATTTTATGTCATTTTCTGTACAGCCAAAGACTGTCCCATTCTATGTATGTGTCAGATTTTCACTATCCACTCATCTGTTGAAAACATGGTTTCCTTGCTATAGAGAATAAAGCAGCAATAAACACGTGGGTGCAAATGTTTCTGTGGTAGAGTATGAAGGTCCCTGGGTGTATTTCCAGGAGTGAAACTGTGGATTTATATGGTAATTACTTTTTAATTTTTTGAAGAATCCCCAAATTTCCGCAATGGTTGTATTAATTTGCACCAAACCACCCCTGAGTGAAGGTTCGCCTCTTCTCATTCTCGCCAACATTTGTTGTCAGATTCTTTTTTTTTTTTTTTTTTTGGTTTTTTGAGACAGGGTTTCTCTGTATAGCCCTGGCTGTCCTGGAACTCACTCTGTAGACCAGGCTGGCCTTGAACTCAGAAATCTGCCTGCCTCTGCCTCCCAAGTGCTGGGATTAAAGGCGTGTGTCACCACTGCCCGGCTTGTTGTCAGATTCTTGATGACAGATATTCTGACTGGGATTGGACAGTATCTCAAAGTAACTTTAATTGGCTTTTCTCTGGTGTTGAACACTTTAAAAAAAGTTATTGGCCATTTGTTTTTGTTTTTAAAAAACTATCCCACTAACTTGCTGATCTATCGATTGGCAGTTTTCTCTCCTTGATATTTAATTTCAAATCTTTATAAATTCTGGGTATTGGCCACTGCCTGGAGTGGAGCTGGTAGATTTTTCTCTCATTCTGCGTGCTGTTTGCTCTTTGTTTCCTTTGTTGTGCAGAAACTTATTTCGTGTAACCTGCTGACAAGCAGGAATAGTTCCTCGGCTATTGGTGTTCTATTCGGAAAGTTCTTGACTGCACCAAGAGTACTTGAAAAGTATTCTGTTTTTTTTTTCCTCCCCCAGATGTATCATCACTTCTGGTTGTAAATCCTTTGATCTGTTTTGAATTGCTTTTGTACGATGTGAAAGGTATGAATGAATCTAGTTTCATTCCTCTGCAAGCTGGTCTCCAGTTTTGCTAGTACTAATTAATGAATGTTATCTTTTTTCCCTAGAGTATATTTGTTGGTTCCCCTGTAAAAACTAAGTGGGCGTTCCTTTGCCATTTTATTTCCAGGTCCTCTATTCCATTAGCCTGCCTGCTTTACACCAGTACCAGGCTATAGCTCATTTTTTTTAAAAAAGATTTATTCATTTATTATTATTTTTTTATTTATGAGTACACTGTAGCTATCTTCAGACACACCAGAAGAGGGCATCCAATCTCATTACGGATGGTTGTGAGCCACCATGTGGTTGCTGGGATTTGAACTCAGGACCTCTGGAAGAGCAGTCAGTGCTCTTAACCACTGAGCCATCTCTCCAGCCCAAGGCTATAGCTCTATAGTAGAATTTGAGGTCAGGTGTTATAATTCTTGAACCAGTGTTATTTCTCAGGATTGCTTTGGCTATTTGTGTCCCCTCCTCCCCTTTTCTGGTTCCATATGATTTCTTGTATTTTTTTCTAAACTCTTGAACTATGATATCTAAATTCATATTGTGTTATATCTGGAGATTAATTGTGGTAGTGCAGCCATCTTGATGCTACTAATTCTACCAAGTCACCAGGATCATGGGAGATCTTTACCTAACTTTCTCTATTAAAGATTAGGGGAATTAACGAAATAGAGATGAAGAACTTTTAGCAATCACACTTCCTCTGTTGTAATTTAAAAAGTACCCACACTTATATTTCTCCAACAGCAGCTGGTATTTCCTTGGTGGTAATTAAGGGGGAAGGGCGCTTCCAGGAACGACAGAGAAAATGAAGCCTAGGATTCTGAAACAGCTTTACTCATCATCCCCCCCCCCCCCCCAGTTTGGGGATATGATTACTATTGCATTAAAATGAATATGAGCTAATGTAAACTGTAACATACCATGTATAGGACAAAATGAGACCTCTCACTTTGTTCCAAGTTAAGGAGACATACTCCAACTTTAGTGGTTCTCTGGAGAAAATGATTAACATGATCAGGATAACTTAGCAATATCTGTAGATGAATTAACGCAAGGGTTGCGAGTGGAATAGCCCAAACTAGAACACAGGCCTTCCCACAATTGAAAAATCATCACAACACCCAAAGTGAAATTGTTTCCCCCATACTCAAACGAAACTGGCTGTGGCCGGGCGGTGGTGGCACACGCCTTTAATCCCAGCACTTGGGAGGCAGAGGCAGGGGGAATCTCTGAATTCGAGGCCAGCCTGGTCTACAGAGTGAGTTCCAGGACAGCCAGGGCTACACAGAGAAACCCTGTCTTGAAAAACCAAAAAAAAAAAAAAAAGAAAAAGAAAGAAAAAGAAAAAAAGAAACTGGCTGTGTAGACAATTTGTAGCCTCAGAGAACAAGTGTTTGGAAACAAAGTCTAAGCACTTAAGAATTCTATTAATTCACGCGCCTGTGTGAAGATCAGACATAAGCATTAACCCACCGGTTTTGCATTCATCCCTGATCCTGTCCAGAGAGGGCGGGGGGGGGTATGTTATTGCTTTCATTAACCTTTGCACTTTGCCCCTTAACTCAGGTGGAGATTTAACACACGTGGAGATGTACACTAGAGGAAACGCGAGTCTTCCATTTCGAACGCCACCATCCTCCTCCTTCAAGACAATCTTTTTTTCCGGTAGCCCAGCATGTGCCCTAATGCGGACCAATCTCATTTGATCCGAGAAGCCAGCGGGCAAGAAGGGCTGAGGGCTGGACGGCCTAGCCTGCAGGCGGGACTGGCATGACTGGGATCGTAGTCTAGTGAGGGAACACTGCTAGTTTGGGTTCCCGCGAGGCCTGACCGTCCGTGGGACGATCCGACAGAGAGGTTCCTAATCTGCTCTCTGCACGAAAATAAAACCCTTCGCTTGTGATGTGAGCCGTGGGGAAGCTGCAGGAGGAAAATGGGTGCAAACGAGCGCCGGCCTGGGTGACGAAGCGAGGGACTGTCTCCAAATAAGAAATTCACAATCGGAGAAAGTCTACTCTCAACCCCCAAATCAGCACAACACTCCGAGAACAAGGAGGGCTTCTAATCAACCACAGTCCACCGAAGCCGGAAGTGGGTCCGCCCCTTCCATAAGTGCACCGGAAGTTGGGGCTTGCGTGGTGTAATTCCCGCCCACTTCCCAAGGCCAGCCTATCTGATGGCTTCCCAGGACTTGCCTGCTTGCCGCTATTTTTTTCCGCTCTACTCTGAGACCCTCTTTCCGCAGCTTCGTTCCTCAAGCTCCTCGTAGAAGGGCCACGTGACCCTTGAGAGCGTACTCCGTTATTCCCATTTGCAGGCGCCTAAAGGTGCCTCCTGAGGGATGACGTATAATTAGCGCGCCGCCTTCGGAAGGACCTGCCTCCGCTTCCATCGCGTTCCAACGCCGGCTTCTCTTGCCAGGCACGTGTGCTGCTGAATGGAGCTGGTCGCTGGCAGCTACGAGCAGGTCCTGTTTGGGTTCACAGTACAACGCGGGCCCGCGAGGAGTGGCCAGCGGGAGGTGAGGCACCGCGAGCCCGGAGCCGCGGGGGACGGGCGGGCTGATCCCTCCAGGGCAGAACCGTGGCGTCTGTTGTTTATTGCTGGGTCTCCATGGGTAATTGATGGAGAACGTGTTTATGCAGATAATCCCAGCTCTCGAGAGGTTGAGACAGGAGGATAGTGAGCTTGCGCTTTACTGAGTAGAAGCTTTTCAGAATGAGATGTTTACTTGTTATAGTAGATAGAATGTCCACAGACGGAAACGAAAAAAGTTCATCTCGATGGAGAGTGGATGAATGGTTGCTAGAGGTTGGGCCTATATAGAAAGGTGACGGAGGAAGGCTAATGCTTGCAGAAATGAAGTTTGGTGGGAAGAATGACTGATGTTTTTGTTTTGTTTTGTTTTGCCTTGAAAGGTAACTAAAGTTAACAGCAATTAATTGTATATTTTAAAGTAGTTACTAGAGAGTATTTTGAATGTTCAACTCAAAAACATGGTACATAGTTGAGGGCATAGGTTGTCTTTTTCATATCTGATCTATGTATGCATTGAAATAGCCCATTGTGCTCCATAAATATATACAGTTATTATATGATAACTGAAAAGGAAAAAACTTAAAAGTACTCTCAAGTTTTATGAAAAACTGCCATTTTTTTTAACATACACGAAAAATAAGGTGTTCATTTAAGCTGACAATTATTGTAGTTCTTCAAGTTCTAATGTAAAAATAACTTTACCTTTCACTGAGTTTCTGTCCTGATTAACAAACTACTATAGGAGGGTTGGAGAGACGGTTCAGCGGTTAAGAGCACTAGCTGTTCTCCCAGAGGGTCTGGGTTCAGTTCCCATCATCTACATGGGAGCTCACAACTGTCTGTAACTCCTGTTTCAAGGGATCTGATACCCTCATACAGACATACGTACAGTCAAAACACCATTTTACATAAAATATAAATTATTTATATAATATACACACACACACTATTACAACTGGACTGGGATGAAGAAAGCGATGCAGATTCACTGTTTACTGTGACATTACTGTGGCCAGGGTGAAAGGTGCCAGAGGTGTGGCTCCTGCTGTTGTAGCCTTCTTGGTGGAAGAGATGATGAGCAGAAATACATGGAGGTAAAATGTAGCACAGTATGAAATCTATTTTTGTCAGGTATGAAAATAAGAAACAGGTGATTGCCAACATAGTAGTCTAAACAGTAAACGGGATTAGAAGTGACATCTAGCAGGGCAGTGGCCCCCACCCTTAATCCAGCACTCAGGAGGCAGAGGTAGGCGGATCTCTGGGTTCCAGGCCAGCCTGGTTTACACAGAGAAATTCTGTTTCAAAAAACGAAAAAAGAAAAAACAGATGTGATCTCTTAATATTCAGATGATTATTTCTTGAACAGTTCTACTTCTCACCTACAAGTCTGTTTTGTTGAGAATTCCTTAGTGTGTGTTGTGATTGGATTTTTTTTTTTAGTATACTCGTTCCAGATGTACAGCAACCCTGAGACTGATTCTCAGAGATGAACAATTGGGAGGTTCATAGAGCAAGAGATGCTTAAGGCCACATGGTTTGTGACTACAACAGGTCAAGGTCCTCCAGATGTTTCCCAGGCTTATGCTGTTAACAATTCCAGGTGCTGCTTCTGAATCGAGCCAGTCACCAACATAACCAGTATTATGTATGTAATTTGAACAAACAAGTAATGATCTGACATAAAGCTGTAACTTGCTTGAGTCAGGTGGCTCTTGTCTGTAATCAGGAGGCCGAGTCAGGAGGATTCGGAGTTTAAAATTTAAGCTGTGGTGGCACATGTATTTAATCCCAGCACTTGGGAGGACAGCCATAGCTACAAAGACCCTGGGGGGAGGGGAGGGAGGGAGAAGAGAGAAGAGAGGAATGAGACTTAAAATTAAAACCATATGCCTGAGGTACATTGAGTCTTGGTGAAAGGAGGCCTGTTGTTCCTGACTGATGAGTGGACTATCTGCTCCTGTAGGTCTTTAGGGCGTGATACGCTGTGATTGATTTTAAGAATATGTAAAGAACTTTGCTGGGTTTTTTTGTTTTTTGGGGGGGGGTTTCTTTCTTCTTTGGTTTGTTTGGTTAATTTTCCCATGTAGCTCCTTCAGTTTGAAGAGCACTGAATGTGTACGTGCCTTCTCCGGTTCTTTGAACTCATCCAGTCATAGTTCTCACACCAGAAATATGTAGTAATGAGCAGCTGGTCCCTGAGACGCATTACCAGCAGTTCTCGAGGGCTCATGGTAGTACTTACGAAAATATACCCATATGGTCCTATTTCTTTCTTTATAGGGCTTATCATATTTATCTCTGTGTATCGTCACATTAACTTGTTTTCTATCTCTTTCCTTAAAGTGGAAGTTGTATTTGAATACAGACTTCTGTTATTGTTTTTTCTACTACCCATAGTGATGTCAAGCATATATAATAGAATAGTTATGTAGACATAGAGAAAGTTGGCAGTTGTTACTGGAATTAATCCACATAATTAATTGAACATTTGGATGAATTACTGATACTGAAGTCTATGGACGTCTACATTACTGGGATCTGGAGGTGTTACTGTGTTCACTTCCTTTCCTTACACTCCTTATTCAGGTCTTCAGTCCCTTTTTGTGCTTTAATCTGTGTATTGTTACATAGTTTTCTCCACTTGCAGGAGCCACTGCTTGCTTTGATGGATTGTGAAACTATATTCTCAGAACTGTGATGTGACTGTGGTGTTGATGATGTTTCATTCTTTCTCAGACATGGACCCCTGTGGCTGACTTCACTCACCATGGGCACACTGCCTCCCTGTCAGCCATGGCAGCAAACAGTCGCTATGTAGTCACCGGCAGCAAAGATGAAACAATTCACATTTATGACATGAAGAAGAAGGTAGAGCATGGAGCTCTGGTGCATCACAGTGGTAAGTTTGTCTCGGTATGCTGTTGCTGTGAAGAGATGCCATGACCGAGGCATCTCTTACAAAAGAAAGGGTTCAGTTAATTGGGGGCTTGCTTACAGTTTCAGAGGGTTACTTTATTATCATGGCAGGGAGCAGACAGGCCTGTTGATGGGGAGATGGGGGTGGAGAGAGAAAGAAGGGGGGAGAGAGAAAGAGAGAGAGAGAGCAAGTGTGTGTGTGTGAGAGAGAGAAAGAGAGAGAGAGAGAGAGGGAGAGAGACAGAGAATGAATGTGTGTGTGTTGGGGTTGTCTCTGCAGACTTTCTGGTTAGCAGGGAAACAATCAAGAATGAAACACAGTTCAGCATGATTTAGGTAACTGGCGCTGGGCCAAACTTTGAGAGTCTATTTCATTTATTTTATCCATATTTAAGCACAGCAAAATTTCTGAAAAGTTTTTTGTTAACACTTAACTCAGTCCCATGAGTGCAACAAAGTTTAAGACATGTTTACATTGGAGATCTTTACAAAGTCAATATGTCTTCTTCCAAAAAATGGTTCTGTTGACTTAGAACCAGTGCTCAAGAGCCTAGGGAGAATGACTGAGGTAACCCTGTGGGAATCAGGACTGGCTTTGCCCTAAGATAGCATAGCGGCCACTTGGGCATTGGAAAGCACAAGTGACATCTCTGACAAGGATGGATTTTCTGACCTAGAAGAAATGCTCAGAGGTTTAGTCTATTATTGTCATGGCTGAAAGCATGACGGCATGCAGGCAGATACAGTGTTGCAGAGGTAGCTGAGGGTTTCTACATGTGGCAGGCCCCAGGCAGAGTAAGTGACACTGGGCCTGGCTTGAGCACTTGAGACCTCAGAGCCCATCCCCAGTGACACACTTCTTTCAACAAGGTCACACATACTCCAACAAAGCCACACCTTCTAATTGTACAACTCCCTATGAACCTGTGGGTGCCATTTTCATTGAAAGTACCGCACAAATGAAAGGAAAAAAGATGTTCCTTCCTGTCCTATAAGGCAGGGAAGTAGACAGGCTTTTCTGTAGAATCTCATACACCCAGCCTAAGCATGCTTCCCACAGAGGACCTGAGGTGTCCCAGAGGAACGAAGGTCATTGGACCTGAGGCCAAGGAGGAGGCAGTGTACACATGCCTGTGCAAAGTTGCCCAAATGTAACAGATGAAGGTAAAGGCAGAGGAGAACTCAGCATTCATTCAGGTTGTACTTAGCTTCAGGAACTTGGCAGAGTTTCTCCCATAAAGAAAAGCATATTAAAATAAGACCCTTTCTTCCCTTTAAATGAAGGTTATGCACTGCGTGTTGGTTTCTGGGATTTAAGTTGGAATGATAGACACTTGCTTCTAGTAGAGTTGTAAAGCCTCTTTGCCAAGTGCCTTGCTCTTCAGCTGAAGCTCGGCTTGGAGTAACCTCTACATGCAAGGTGTTCCACATCCAGCAGTCAGAGAGGACTAGATAGGATGCATACATAGGGACCCCGCTCTCCTTCCTTGCCTGTATAAGTCCTGTTCTTTTCAGATAGTTAGTAATGGATAAGTTCTTGTCTAGGGAGTAGGTGGGAGTCATGGGCAGATGTGAGGAATAGTGTTAATAGAGAGAGGATAACAGGAGGTGGCTAGATAGATGGAAACAGGGACCCAGAGGTTTTCATTACATTCTGCAGAGGACCAGATGGTCAGTGTTGAGGCTTTGTGGACCTTATGTATGTATGGCTCATGTTACGAATCACTCAGCTAGCAGAGTGTTCTCTGCACAAGCAGTGTGTTCTAGGAGGGTGAACTGTGGCTGCTGTCCAGAAGCACTGTGTTTATAAAAACAGACCTACCTCTAAGCCAGTTCACGCAGACTTCAGAGCTATCGCAAAGATGGAGGTATGGTTTGAACTGCTTTGTGGCCAGAGGTTTGTAATGTTCTTCCACCCTCTTTCGCCTTTTAATACGTGACCAGGGAGAGGAAGTCTTGGGAGAACAAGGCTTCAGTTGGTGGTGGGAAGCAAAGGTTCTGAAGTGATTGAAATGTTTAAGGAAGATTTGTTAGCCACAGAGCTGGAAAAGTACCATTTTATATCATTGTTAATAACTTCTGATGGCACTAGATGAGAAGAATACAGACATAAACGACAGCTCGGCATCAGTAGTGATGGATAGGTGGCTCGAACTTAGAAAGAAGGAGTCAGGGCTCAGTGTGCTGAAACATCTGCATAAACTTAAAGCTGCATTTGTTTTTTGTTTGGTTGGGCTTTTTGTTTTTGTATTTTTGAGACAGGGTTTCTCTGTATAGCCCTTGCTGTCTGGAACTTGCTCTGTAGACCAGGCTAGCCTTGTCTCAGAAATCTGCTTGCCTCAGGATTAAAGGTATACCCCAGCTCTGCCCAGCTTAAAGCTGCTGCCTTATGCTGGCATTATAGCTCAGTGGTAAAGCCCCTGCTTAGCATGTACAGAGGCTCCTGAGTTTAGTCTCTCAGAGCCACTAAAACAAATGAAAACTGTTGGTTTTAATATGACAAACTTGAATTCTTCACCTCAGACTTTAAGGTATGATTCTGTAGTACCAGGGTATTGGCTTTGTATTTGTGGTACTAGGGACTGAACGTGGGTCTTGTGTGTGCTCATCAGAGCCACTTCCAAACTGGACTCATCTTCCTGAGCTTCCAGTCAGAAATGGATATAGTTTTGCCTGTCTTGGTTTTCCACAGGCACAGTAACTTGCCTGAGATTCTATGGCAGCCGGCACTTAATCAGTGGAGCAGAAGATGGGCTCATCTGTGTCTGGGATGCAAAGAAATGGGAATGCCTGAAGTCCATTAAAGCTCACAGGTGAGGCTGTGTGTGAAGTCCATTAAAGCTCACAGGTGAGGCCATGTGTCCCTGTTGGCATTCGTGAAGGACCACTCAAGCAGAGAGCTAACTGTCAGTTTCCTTTTAGGGGTCATGTGACTTTCCTTTCTATCCACCCATCTGGCAAGTTGGCTCTGTCTGTTGGTACTGATAAGACATTGAGGTAAGTTATAAATGCCCAAGGGTGTCTTTACTAATATGTCTTTTACTTAGTAACAACAAAATACTATTTCTATGTCATTCCAACAAAATACCATTTCCATGTAGTTCGAAGTCTTCAGCCATTTAAGGTGCTGTCATAATGAGAAAAATGGAAAGTCAGTGAACTATTTCATAATGATGGTGTGGAAACGATCTGCATTGGGCTGGCAGGGTGGTGCACATCTTTAACCCCAGCACTCGGGGGCAAGGGCAGACTGACCTCTGAGTCTGAGGCCAACCTGGTCTACATAGCAAGTTCCAGGCCCAGAGCCTGTCTAGAAAAGTCCAGTTTTTCATTATTGTCAGTCCCGGAGTGACCCTGAAGAGAAAGGTTTCCGTAGATGAAAATGTAGTGGATAACAACGTGTCTAAAGATTCAGGAATGGGCTGAGCTTTAATCGTGCTTGGAGAAAAATACTCACCAACCAATTGCTACAGAGTAAATAGTGACATTGTCCTGTGTGGAGGCCTGTCAGCTTGTGTTTCCCACTTAGTGACATGATGATCATGCTGTAAACAAACCTCCTGTTTTGCAGAACATGGAATCTTGTAGAGGGAAGATCAGCTTTCATAAAAAATATAAAGCAAAGTGAGTATTTTGCACTTTTTACAATAACTAGCTAGACTATGAATGTATGCAGGCACATTTTTATATATTTATTATTTTATGCGTATGGATGTTTTGCCTGCATGTATGTTTGTGTACTCCTTGGAACCTTGGATGCCAACAGATGACATCTGATCCCCTGGAACTTGAATTACTGATGGTTGTGAATTGTCATGTGGGTGCTGGGAATCAAGCCCAGGTTCCCCAGACCGGTCCATGCTGGGCCATCTCTCCAGCCCAAGAAAAACCGTTTTGCCTTACAGATGCTCACATAGTGGAGTGGTCCCCAAGTGGAGAGAAGTACGTAGTTGTTGTGCTGAACAAAGTGGACGTCTATCACCTGGACACGGCGTCTGTGAGCGGCACCATCACAAGTGGAAAGAGGGTCTCCTCTGTCACATTTCTCTCAGTGAGTTCCAGAAAGCAGGGCTGCGAGAGTTGAGGTGTCAGGATTCCTGAGGACATTCTGGGCACTGATTGTCTTTTTTTCTAGGACTCTGTCCTTGCAGTGGCCGGAGATGAAGAAGTTGTAAGGTTTTTTGACTGTGACTCCCTAGTTTGCCTCTGTGAATTTAGAGCTCATGAAAACAGGTATTCTTTTATTTATTTATTTATTTATTTATTTATTTATTTATTTTAAAGCAATCTGTGTGTATGTAGTCTTACTTAATGTTAACAGTCAATACTCTCATAAATCTCCATGTGGTGTTATGGGAAACAAGGGTGACAGATATGACACACGTATCTGATTGCTGACACTAAGGAGATGACGGAAATGTCATTTCCCTGGATTTCATACTGTGAGATGTTGTTACGCTTGACTATCAAGCATTTTTGAGCAAAGCAAAAGCTAAACAATATTGAGCTTTGTTCGTGACTGCTCTTGTCTTGTTTTCTCATTCCTCTGCCCACTCCCCTTTCCACTATGGGAAAAAAGAAATAGCATTACTGAGCTCCAGCTCCAGGTGTTGACTGTGTGTATAGGGGAGATAGTGACTCTCAGAGTAAGTTGATCATATACTTGGCCAAGATCATTCGACACTTAAGTAAGAGAGCTCTTCCAAACCTGCCCAGCAGATGCTGAATATGCCTGTTTTTTGTTTTTGTTTTTGTTTTTGTTTTAAGTATAATTTTGAGAAGGGTAATAGCATACAGCATTTTACTCCAGTGTAGCCCATCAGCCAGGACTCAAGTCTTAATTCTTGCTTTCTGGGAATGTTTGTTTTGAGAAACCTGTTAGGAAGCAAGCTCATTTTAGGAAAGCGGTTTCAGATGTGTTCCTCACAGTGCTCCTTCACTGCTCGTTCAATGATGAGCAGAACAGACAAGCCTGTGCTCCCCGGCTTACACTGTAGTAAGGAAATGGCAGCGTGGCTTTGCTCTACCGGAGCTTCATTCCCCGCCTGTTGTGTTTACTTAGAGAAAACCTGAAAGGCTGACAGTCGAAGAGCTCCCACTAGCTCACCATGTCACCTCAGCACTAGTCTCTCCTCCATGTTTATCCCCAGGCACTTCCTCGTCTGTGGTGGTTCAGTTCTTATGTTTTAATCGTGTGCCATGCATTTGTGATATGTGTATGGGGCACCCTACAGCATGTGTGGAGGTCAAAAGACAGCGCTGTGGAGCTGCTTCTTTCTTTTCGAATTCATTTGTGTTTCAGAGAGTGAAGTCTGGGAGCCATTGTGCCAGTTCCATCAGTGTTATTCTAAAGTAAAATTACAGTTTTAAGGGTTTTTAAACCTGGAAATATCATGGTTTCACTTCCATTTGAAACATTTATCCAGTAAAATGGAAGGTGAGTGGTGTGTTAGGCAATCCAGAAACCAAAAGGCAGCTTAGGCTAGAAGTGGTGGTTTTCCTGGAGTTGGAGAAACCCATTCTTCTCGCTTCCTCTTCATGAGCCTGCATCTTTCCTGTCTGCATGTGCAGTTGCTTAGTTACTAGGCCTCACCTTGCACATCCTTACTTCCTAGATTCCAGAAGATAACCTGAGCATCTGTGGTTGTCACTTCAGCTTTCTCTTTAGATATGGACAGTTTTTCTCATAATTTGGCCTGAAAATAACTCAATGGGAATATGCAGCATTTGTCATGTCTTAGGCTACTGTTTATTAAACACTTTGAAAACACTTAAAACATTGACTCAGCAAGAGACTGTTTTATGATGTCACACCCTCTGGAGGAAATGATGTCCGGCATTGATGTTTCTCCCTAGGGTAAAAGACATGGTCAGCTTTGAAGTCCCAGACCATCACGTTCTTGTCACAGCATCAAATGATGGCTTCATCAAAATGTGGACACTTACGCAGGATAAGGTCAGTGTTCTTGCCAGCGTCAACACACTGCAGTGCAGGCTTGATTGTATTCTCTTATTACATCGTGATATAATATTAAAGCACACTTTAAGTTAGCAGAATGTTTGTTTAAGATTGATAAAACATAGGTCCATAAACTTTTAAAATCTCTTCCATTCATAATCTTTATTAGAGTTGTAAAGTTGGGGTTACCGCCGAACTGCCTGAGCCTGTAAGCTGACTAAGATCAGGTCTTAGTCCTCCTAGTGCCCTTGCAATTGTGAAAACTTGGCTTGCTGTTTTCTGAATTGGGTCATCTTTATCTTAAAGATTGTCATTACCAAGGCCAGTTTAAAAGGTCCTGATTGATTGTGGAATTAGTAGTGTTGACCCAGACAACCAGACACCGAGCTCCTCCTTCACGGTCCTTGTAGTCTCTGTTTGGAATTATTTATTCTCAACTCTGTGGATGTGGTTTGTTGAATGTCTATGAACGACATAATTTGTGTCCTGAGAATTTCTGAATACTTTGAAGAAATTGTGAGCAGCCTAGTCAGAGCAATTAGAAACTTGGTTGTCAGTTCCTCTGAGTGCCACTATCTTTTGCTCAGGAAGACACAGGCTTGCCTCTCTGACTGAAGAGCCATGTTATGAGACACATTGCTGGGTAATTTCATCAGTGGATTCCTGCGACCTTTGGTGGAACATTGTACTTAGTGTGGATCTGTAAACCTAGTGTGGTACACTCATTTGACAATGACTAAAACATTCTTTTGTGGTATTTAATGCTATACTAAGACTTCAGTTAGATTATTTGGTTATGGAAAAAGAAAAACAGTTAAAAATTCCTCTGGGCTAAGTATAAGTTTTTTTCCTTCTGTTTAGAAAGATCCCCCATCTTTGCTCTGTGAGGTCAACACTGGTGCCAGGCTGACGTGTCTCGGTGTGTGGTTAGACAGAGCAACAAAGGAAAAGGCAAGCATCCCTCCAGCAACAGAGCCCTGTCCTGGTAAGTTAAGTTGATCATTTAAAACACTAAGTAGGCTGTTCCCTCAGGTTGTTGTCCAGATAGCGTCATTTGTCGGGGAGAAACACTCCTTAATGCATTGTCTCATGTGTTTTAGACCAACCTAAGATGATCAAAAAGGAATCTGGTGACATAATTCAGGAAGAAACATCAGAACCTAGCTCAGAGAAATCTGACCTAACTGGTGACAGCAAGCAGCCAACAAAAGGGAATAGCCCAGTGCCAGCCAAGAAGAGGAAAATGGCAAACATGTTGGAAAAGAAGAGAAAAAAGAAACTGTAACTCACATGGCAAACCCCAATTTCTCCTCCCTAGCAGAATGTCATTTTGACAGAATTCCCCATTTTAAATATTATACCTAACTTTTTCCATGTGAGAAAAAAAAATTTCTCCTTCTGGAGAAAATGTGCAGCTTAAAAAAAAGAACCACTTTTAGGTGGTGCTTTGTTTTGTTAAATGATAAAGTTATTTTGGCAGATGGCATTTTATTATATATTGTAGTATATAGTGATTGTTTACTTTTTACTGTTCAGAGCAAGTAAATATATGAAAATGTTGTATTTAAAATAATACAGAGTTTAAATATATTTATTTGATGGTTGGGATCAAGCCCTGAGCCTTACATGTTAGGTTTCTCTTTGCACCATCAGCGCCCTGGCCTCTGGCCCTGCTCCCTGCTTAGACCTGTTAGTCTTTACCAGAAAGGGATTTTTCAGACAATCTGCTTCTAAGCAAATTTAAGGGCAAGGAAACAACACTTCTCATAATTTTTTGTCTTTCAGAGCATCAGTACTCACCTAAGCTAGTCTTAAACAGTCTCAGCTCAATTCCTTGTTGCTATGTTGCCTCAGGGTCCCCATAACCCTCTGCTTCAGATTGGCACAAGATGCGTCAGTTATGTGTGGTGGTCTTAGAACAAGCCTAGTACACTGCAGGTACTTAATGACCATGACCTGTGTCTCAATCAGGGCTTCTATTCTTACACAAACATCATGACCAAGAAGCAAGTTGGGGAGGAAAGGGTTTATTCAGCTTACACTTCCACATTGCTGTTCATCACCAAAGGAAGTCAGGACTGGAACTCACACGGGGCAGGAACTTGGAGACAGGAGCTGATGCAGAGGCCATGGAGGGATGTTACTTAACTGGCTTGCTTCTCTTGGCTTGCTCAGCTTGCTTTCTTATAGAACCCAAGACTACCAACTCAGGGATGGTACCACCCACAAGGAGCCCTTCAGATTGGTGTGGGATTGATCACTAATTGAGAAAATATAAGCATTTCCTCAAGGGAGGCTCCTTTCTCTGTGATAATTCCAGCTTGTGTCAAGTTGACACACAAAACCAGCCAGTACAGCCTGTTACATGACAAACTGTCATAGTAAAGGCATATTTTGTCAATTGGTGGTACACACCTTTAAAGAAGCACTTAGGAAGCAGACAGGCAGATCTCTGAGTTCAAAGCCATCTTGGTCTACAGAGCAAGTTCCAGGACAGAGCAAGAAACATATATAAATTAAAAAAAAACAAAACACAATAGATGTCAATTGCGAATGTTTTGAAATATCAAAGGATGGGAAGTCCCAAGGGCATAGTGTGAGTAGAAGTCAAAAGAAGATTAAAGCCTGTGGGCCAGTAAGATGGCTTGGTGCTGGTTGAGTGTACTTAGCACCAAGCCCAAAGACCCGAGTTCAGCTTCGGAAGCCCACAGTTGTGAAGGAAAATCTGTCTCCCCACAACTTGTCTTCTGGCCTCCACGTTTGTACCACAACACGTGCACCTCTCAAGTCCCCACCTACAGAGTAATCTATGACAGAGTTTGGTTTTCCTATAAAAGATAACTTGGCTTTGGAAGGAGTTGTATGTAAACAATGTTTCACTTGAGCGTGGTGAGGCATCCCTGTCATCCTGGCATTCAGGAGGTAGGAGGTCCAGGAATTCAGGGGTGTTTGGGACTACCTGATATCTTGTCTAAAGAAAACAAAGCTTAAACATGGGCTTCAGTAATAGATGCCTTTAGCTGGAATCTCCAGGTTATCTAAGCTTTTGTAACAGTTCTTTGTGATTTGATTGTAACTTGGAGCCTTGCCCTCTCCCTAGTGCCTACAGAAGTGAGTTGTATCTTCTACCTAGTCCTGGTTCACTTGGGGGATCCTCTTGTTCCAGGCATCTGGGATCTTGATGCAGTCAGCTGCTGTTATATCCATAGCCTCCCGAGGAGTGCACAGGAAGGAGAAGTGTATGAGGCTGGGATAAATAGTAATTCAGATGGCGTGTGCTGGGAGCCTCAGTCACACCGGATGCTAAGGCGGGAGGATCATTTGAGCTCTGGAGTTCCAGGGCAGCCTGGGCAATACAGACTCCATCTTAGGAAAAACAAAGTAGTAAATAGGAAGTGTAGTAAATAGGAAATGTGTTAAAGAGCCCAAGATACTGTATGCACAGACACCATTTTTATGTAAGACATTCAAGTATATACAGGAGACAAAACATTCATAATCCGTGACTAGGGGCATCACAAGCCCTGAATTAGGTCCTTGACTTCTAAAGCAAGACCCACAGTGCTCCAAGGACCCAGAGGTACAGTGCATCTCTGATGTAGGGTGTGTGTGGTTCTGTTCTGCATCCAGGTTGCCACCATCGTCATGAGGTCATCTGTGCCTGCTTGCAAAAATCCCAGTTGGGCTTGTTGACTGTTTACCTGACTGTTCACCTTCATTTACAAAAGGAGTGGAGAGTGTTGTGGGGCCCTCTCACCTCTATCTAGCTTCCTCTCCCTTCCAGTTTCATGCATTCTACCCTAATTTCATGTGACTTGAGGAAGGGCTAGAGTTTATAAGTGGAGAGAGACTAGGGAAGGGCTCCACAAAGAAGCCATCATTCACACTGGGTATATAGGCCAGTGACTGTTTCAGGATCACTTTACTTCTGCCCGAAACCCCTCAGCCATCCTCTGTAAGGAACCTTAATAAACTCATTGGTTCCTCGGGTGAACTTTGGTTTGTAATAAGACCTGAGGCTTAGGCTCCCCCAGGGCAAAATTTCTTAACAATAGATTGTCTTACTGTTTAAATGTCTCCACTTAAGATCTATCCTCGGCACAGGGCAGTACGTAAACACTTTCAGTTACTTTGACTTGTGGCTAATATGCCTCTCCTACCAGCCTGGCACCCTCTCCTGATGGCTCTTATTCATCCCAGTTTTCTTTGTATCAAACTGGCCCACCAGCGGAGCGGGAACACCAGACTGCTGCCAAAGTTGACTTTCCTCCACCGGACTATTCCCAGCCTGGAACTAAGCCACGCCCCCTTTCCCTGGATAGAGCCAAGCCCGTCCCTCTTGACTAAAGTTCCGCCCAAGGTGACGCCCAGCCAATCCCCTTAGGTTCCGCCCGTCGGTCTAAGCCCCGCTCCCCGCTAGGACGCTCCACGCATCGTGACGTCTGCACGCCCGGCTCCTGACCTCTGTTCTTCGCTGACTGCCCGCATCCTCGTCCTCCAGCGCAGGCCTCCGGCTCCGGCTCCGGCTCCGGTGTTGGTTGGGTGTGTTCTTACTTTGCCTGTTTTCTCACCTGGGAATTGTTCCGCACGCGCAGGCGCGAGGGGATCTCCCGTGCATTCTCTGCTTGAGCTCGCTTCCCCGGCCCGCTTCCCGCCTCTCTAAAACGTTCTGTAACTGCGGTTCCGGGAGTGGAAACCTAAACGCGCGTGCGCTGCTTCCGCGCCCCGAGTGCTTTTCCGTAAGAGAGCAGGAGTCACTTTGTAGGGATGTAGCGCGTTTAGTGCAATTGCGACTCGGGTTCCCAGGCATTTTCTGGTCCCTTGCTCCAGCCTAACAGGAGCTGAGGGTTGGGTCCAAGGGTTTCTAAAAGTTTGCAAACTGAGTATTGAGGACGCTTGAGAGAAAGCAGCATTTACCATGACCCTCGGAGACGCTAAGAAGAGTGGAGGTATAGGTCATTGTTTTCTGATTTAGCAATCTGTTAACTGATGAGACAGTCAGCTGGTCCAGAGCTGGTCAGTGACTCCTGCTCGCTTCCGTTGCCCTGTGCTGTAACGGAGGTTGTAGTAAAACTAGTTGGTGTCTCTACAGCATTTAGTATACACGGAAGTGTTTTATTTGTTACCCAGTTACCTTCACTGGGCATCAGATCTAGGGTGACCTATGTACAAGGCCCAGTTGCATCCACACCCAGAGCTGTACCTTGAACTCATTTTTTTTTTTTTTTTGACTCCCAGAGACCTGCGTTTTCGTTAACTGTTCTGACCTCTCCTCCACAGGTGCAGGCCTAGTGTGCTCTTCAAAGTGACTGAGCAATGCAGAAGGACAGTGGCCCAATGTAAGTGCCCTATGCATTGGAATACAATCACTTGGAGCTCCTAAAACCAGAGCACATGACAGGAGCCTTCAGCGTGGCACTGCCCACAGGGCTGCGTGGGTTGTGATATGGTCCTCGAACTAGTGGCCTGGGACCGGACTTGAATCCAGTTCTGCCACTGGCTAGTTCTGTGACTAAGCTTGCCACCTTGCCTCTGTTTCTGATTGTACACTGACAGGATTTGCTGTGAGTGACAACCTTTTTGTCCCAGCCAGTGATTTAAGCAATTACATTTATTTATTCGTGTGGATACATTTGTGCCTTGTTGCGTTTGTAGGGGTCAGAGGACAGTTATCCTGTTTTGTGAGTCTCTTGTACTGTAGTCAGACTCAGTTTGCCAACCTTGGCCCAGGGGATGGGGTGGAGGGGTGGGGCATCAACATCATCACCAAGGCTGAGCACCCCACTGGCCCCATCCAGTGATTTTTGTGGGTTGTCTTTTAAACTTGGTTGGCACTGACTTCTCCCTTTTGCCATTTCAGGGTGCCTTTACATTATTTTGGTTTTGGCTATGCAGCCCTGGTTGCTACCGGTGGGATTATTGGCTATGCCAAAGCAGGTAAGCCTTTCCTGTTACTCTTACTTACAGTTGTCACCTTAGCCCAGTGACATGTGGGTCCCCAGAGTCCTTGAAGCCTAATACTGCTTGACTCAAGTTTGCTTTAGGTCCTGAATGCATTCTGCGTGGCCAAGCTCCTGGTTCTTCCTGCACTGGCCTCTGATTATCTGGCTGAGCCGAATCAGGCATTTTCTCCCTCTTTACATCCAGATAGGCATGGGTGGTAGTGGATGGTTGTTATCGACCGTAGCCAGACACCGTGCTGTCTCTCAGCTCCTCAAGTAGGAAACCTCTTGTCTCTGCTCGCTGTGTTAAACTTCAGTTTAACACAGGCTCAAGCCAGGGCCTCATGTGAGTCAGACAAATACTGTACTGAGTCACTCCTCCTAAAGGAGAGAGGGCTGGGTTGCTAAGACCCTGACTTCTATGGTGGACTCTACAGAGTCTCCCCATGCTGAGAACACTGTGGCTATCAGCCTTCTGAAGACAACCTCTCTTTGGCAGGCTTCCTCTGCCAGGGAGGGGCGTTTTGAGTGTTTTTTATATAATGTCTGTCATCACAACATGGATGCTTGCCTGTTTGCTTCTCCCCAGGTAGTGTGCCGTCCCTGGCTGCTGGACTCTTCTTTGGGGGCC